TCCCAATAAGTCAATCTTATGTTAAAAATGTGGTAAATGGGAAATATATTTAACACCCCTTACTTGCTGAACATGATACTACTGTAAATTGGCCTAACTTTATAGAGCTCAGGTCATTTACCCTAGCCTACATTTGGGTAAAATCACCTAAAATAAAGCTTATTTTATAAAGGGTGGAGTATCCATTTAACTCTTTTTGCATACTGCATTTAAAGTGAGAACCAAACTGGATATAGGGGTACATTTTCACACATTCATAAAGTTAAAAAAACCTGCCCATCAAACAATTATACTTTCATTATCTTATGCAGGTTATAGAAAGGTATTCTGCCATCTGAAGAGTATAAAGAAATTTAACATTTGTTTTGTTTTGCTGGTTGCAATGAGCTTCTATGTATTGCTGACCACATGATCCAACTTTTTTTTTAAACCCTATGATGGAGTTATTTGTAATTTATGGCTGAGGAAAATTTTGATTCTACAGGGACCATTAATCTGGAAATCATATTCTCACTGCTAAGGGGGACAGAAGAGCTGGTACTGGATTAACTTTTCCACACTGCCTCCTTTTATATTAAGCTCCTTACTCAGGAATCTTCTCAGATGTTATCAAAGAAATCTGTGGCTATCTGAATGAAAAACTTATCATCAAAGCTATAAAAACAAAGGTTGAGGATCAAAGAAACAGGATGGATAGAGGGGAATTAGGTGCGTGGCTTCGTCTCTGACACATAGTGGCATGTTTGGATGGAACAATTTACATTTTTTTAAACTCCAGTTTGATTTTGTTTTTGATAGACTCCTTTAGTTTATGCCAACTACCAGAAAAAATAATCCTCCCTAAAATTTGGCTTCTCTTTTTTCATTAAATACCAAGCTTCTCTGTTGCTCTCTCCAGAAATAAAAGATTTATTTCTCACTGCTGCTCAAGTGATATGTATTGGTTATATTGTTTTGTTACAAATACGTTTATATGCAAAACAATATAGTCAAAACAAACATTTTAAAGCAGAGAACGGTCTTATAAAAACAAAATGTGTCCACAGTGTGTGGTGGAAAGTTTATTGGCTTAAGAAATGTAAACTTGAGAAGTGTTTAAGATCCGCCCATAAAATGATGCAAGTTAAGTCATTGTTCCTGTAATAAACTCAAGTTAAAAGAGCAAACAAAGATGTCTCACCAGGTTACTCAACCTTCTTGAGGAGGCTTTTATTTGTGAAGGGTGAAGTTTCTAAAGTTCCATGTCATGACTGACACTTTATTCAACCCGCCCGATTCCTCCTATTGGGAGTGAACAAGCTGTTGAGCAGTGTTAGAAAATCTAAGCATTTGTGACAAAACCCAACACGGTCCACTTTAAAGTACAGCAACTGCAACATTTGTGAAGTAAGTTGAACTGACACTACAATTGATTCCTGAGGTTTAGTACTGAAAGAAATCTGAGGGCATATTTTAAGGATATTCTTTGCTAAATATCAGGGAAGACTGTTTCCCTTGCTTGGCTTCCAACTAATTGATTGATTACTTTTGTAATGCACAAAGACTGTAGAAGCTGGAAAAATAAACACTGAACAGAAGATTTCAAGTTGCTTTATTTTCAAGATAATGGAATGTATTGTCAGCTTCTTACTAGTGCTGTTTCTTTCTGTGTACTATTTTAAGTATTAGAGGAGGAATGAAAGACATTTTAAAAAACTTTTTGACAATCTTTACATAATTAGGGTAAAAAGGCTCAAGCGCTACAGGAAAATGGGCAAGACAATTAGTTCCATATTGTTTCCTTCATGTATCTGAGGTAAAGTGCAATATTGAGAGGGCAACCCCACCCAGTCTCCCACCTGCCCCAGGTCCCTGATGTGGGGCATGCACCGAGATTCTTGCTCAAATGGTTTTGATAGTTCAACAATTATGAATTGCTGCCAATCTTGCCACTCCAAGCACGATGGGGTAGTTGAAGAATCCACTGATTGACATAGTCCATCATAGAGCCTCCATTTGCCCAGTTTTCCACTGCCAACATATAGCTGAGGTGGTTGACTGACTTGTTTTGTCCAATGTCTTTTCATGGTTAGGGTTCGGAGTCCAGCAGTTCGATTGGGGGGATCCAAAAAGAAACTTTCAGGTGTTTCCAGACCAGATTCTTATATATACTAGCAAGTACAGGGCCCAGCACAGTCCATCACCCCAATCAGGTGGTGGTTTTAATTGCTGCGTTGGTTCTGTTTCCATCCCTGCCTTCCACTGGAACCAACGGGTGTTGCAGTCCAGCCTGGTTCTGTCCAGCACATACTCGGGCCTCACAGAAACCAGTGTGGGCTGCAGCCTAGTCGGAGTGATCCACAATAATCCTCACCACACCCGCTCCCTGCCCTGGTTTGCTAGTATGTGCAGCAGACTAGTCCAGTCTGTCCCACATCCTCTTCTGCTCTCATACATGTCAATGTGTATTAAAGACATTTATAGTTCCTTAACAAGAAAGGCCACCCTGTTATCACCGAAACGGTGAACCAAGAGTACATCATTAACATTCATAAGCATATTCATGGAGTGGGTTTCAACAAGCATGATCCTTAGGCAATCAACGAGGATGAGGACATGCCAAACAAGCTCTCTATTTTGTTTCTGTTCACCTGTCACCACTCTTAAAAACCTACAATGTGGATGAAAAATAACTGCTCATTAAAATTGTTAAACTGCAAAAAGGCTAAAAACAACACCCTGCAGTCCTCAGTCTCATAGTTCCACCAATCATATATATCTATATCTATATCTATATCTATATCTATATCTATATCTATATCTATATCTATATCTATATCTATATCTATCTATATATCTAGTAATTCTTGGTTGTACACCTTAAATATAATTTTCAAAATTTTCTTAACTGTTGTATATACTGCCTACTTACTATGTTTCTCTTCATGAAGCGACCTGCCTCCTCATTCTGTATCTAAAATAACCTACAAAAATACCTGATTGCAACTTATTCTGTAGGTTCAAGGCATTGAGAGACACCTTCTTACTCTCAAACAAAAAAATATTACAAGTAAGCATCCCACAATCCTCAGAATAAAGAATACTTTTGTATCTGCAAAACACCTCAATCATTCATTCTCTTCCTTTCTTTATAGTCTGTCTTCTTATGGAGTTTATGTGGGTTATTTCTTTGGTATTGAGTGGCTCAAGCTTTGCAAAAGCAGTGCTTTTAGATGCCATTTGTCAAAATGAGCTTGTTTTCTAATAACGGAAGACTGATGGTCTCGAAGCATTTTCACCTGCAAGTCTGGATTGTTCAAAAATCAATTTGCTACAACTTGATGTCAGAATTGCCTTCACAGCATTCTGTACTGATATTTGATTAGTGGATCTTTGCCCGAACTTCTGAAGTTAGTGGGCCAGGCAGAGCGTAGTGCTTGTTGCTTTTTCAAGTGTCTGTTTCCATTCCTAGGGTAGTCTCTTTACATTGGACTGTTCATTGTTGTGCTAGAACATCGCCCCAGGTATTTCAGCTTTGTTTTTGGAGTCAGCTATGAAAACACTTTTCTTCTTTTTCACTTGTATATGACCTGTTATTTATTTCTCCTTCTTTTAAGATTTATTTTTACTGGAAAGTCAGATTTACAGAGAGAAGGAGAGACAGAGAGATCTTCCATTTGCTCCTTCGCTCCCCACGTGATTGCAATAGCCGGAGCTGAACCAAGCAGAAGTCAGGAGTCAGGAGCTTCTTCTGGGTTTCTTATGCAGGTGCTTGGTCCCAAGGCTTTAGTCTGTCCTCCATTGCTTTCCCAGGTCACAATCAGGGAGTTGGTAGGGAAATGGAGCAGCCAGGACATGAACTGGTGCCATATGGGATCCCAGCACTTGCAAGACAATAATCTAACCACTAGGCTATCATGCTTGGCCCTATTTTTCTTTCTTTTTTTATTAAGTCCTTTTTGTAAAGTTCTATATCCTCTGAAAGTGGTATCAACACTCAGGATGTGTCCTAAATCAGTTATTACAACCATGTTAATGTTAAAAGACTAAGATGAAGCTCTGAACTTGAAGCAAGTTCATTTACATACATATGTACACATACACTCTCTGATACCTACCATGGCCCTGATTTTTTAGTCTGTGACCTGATTTTGGCTTCCAAATTTTCGCACTGCTGTGGAAGCTTTTTCTTGGAGATAACTTAGCTTGAATACCTCATATAAGGCTTTCCATTTATTGCCACATCTTCTCAACTATGTGATTTTTTTAAATTAAAACTTTCCAATTGGTAGCTCAAGAATATTGAGATAACAAGATGGAAACAGTACTGCAAATGAACCATAGAAATGCTGAGTTGAAATTTGTTTAATTCACCACTGCCTCCCTCTTCATGGGTTCTCACTGTGAATTCTAAATAAAAAAACCGATCATGTGCCGTTGCTTTCTGTTGCACTCAGGTTTGGACGTTAACCACAAGGATTGAAGGGTACGTAATACGTAACTTCTTCATAACGGGGATGAACAAAATTGGGAGGTGTTTTACTTATTAAATGTTTTTGCCATATTTAAAAGCAAATATCCAGAAGTTCTGAATTCTATTTTTATATAGAGGGCTTTAACAAGTTTAAATAAAATACTCTGAAAACATTTTGTGTAGATTTCATTTTTTTCCCATCCAAATAAACTTACTTGTTAATTTCATTTTCTCACAAGCTTTTTGAAGTACCAATGTGCATTCTAGCTCCAGGCTGAAGAGCAGCTTCTTCGACGCAGCTATTCACCATGTCATAAGCTCTTAAAGAAGCCATGGCAGCTGGGCTGCATTTTATCCAATGATTATAAGCAAGTCATTCTCACCAGCATTTTTTGCTTGCGTTTTGTCCCATTCTGACATTACTTAGTAAAAACATGCCAAGGGACTCTACCTTTTCACCTTGCTGATAATAATCCTATGGTGGCCTTGCTGATAATCGAGAACCTTCAGCAGGAATGCCTCACCTGCACGTATTTTCGTTCAACAGAAAGGATGACTCCACAGGCCGAGTGTTCCACAGCAGAGCCATCATCTCCGGAGGATGAGCACCAGATGAAGAGGATGATGGCCAAGCGGGCGAAGATCATCAAGGAGCTGGTACAGACAGAGAAGGACTATCTCACCGACCTGGAACTGTGTCTTAGGGAGGTAGTGCAGCCCCTGAAGAATAAGCAGGTAAGTGCAAATAGAGGGTTTTAATGTTTCCGTTTTTTTCTTTTCTTCCTCCATCGTAAATAAACTCACTAGCATCACATCATTGAAGCACCCAAGTGTAAAAGGGGAACACAGTACCTCTTTTCCAGGGTCTCCAGGCTTGGCTTCCCACCAGGGACAATCAGCCCTGCCCTTTTCCCATTACCAAGCCATTGGCCAAGGAAACTTTTCTAAACTTGGGAGAAAGGGAACCCAGAGCTTTTGCTACTTTGGAATTTCTCATGTAGTCTTCTTTGGACTACCATTGTATTGCTAACAAAATTTGAGCAACAGGCTTTCAACCAAGCCAGGAACAAGATATTTAATTGAATTTTATGGTGACCATGGATTTAGAAGAGAAAGACATGCAAGTTCCAAGATCTACTAACCTGAGAATTCAGTTTATTTCCAGTATTTAACTATTCAGAGCACCAGTATCTACACTCCCTTGTGGTGCAGACCTACCGTAAACTCTTCTTGGAAAAATGGAAATCCCAGCCACTGTCCCTGTGTTTTCTCTCTCCTTTTTTCTCTCTATACAATCTCCCAGCCTCATCAGTTTTACATAATTTTGATAATCATTCGAACAGCCCATAACATGTATGCTCAACTTGCTCTTATCCAATGATATTTCCTCAAATCCATCGTTGCCCTTCATTTTATGTCATACCCAGAAGTGGTGATCACCAGCAACTTTACTCTCTTAAATCAAGACTTCCTGCCTTTCCTGTTTGCTTTTTCTTAATCTTAACTCATAAGCAATTATGAGAACTGTTACCTCAGATGCTGACAAATAAAAAGTTTTCAATATAATGTTAATAGGTGTTTATTTGGCATGCTTAAGGTTTTTTGTTTGTTTGTTTTAGAAAATATTTATTTATGTTACTAGCAAAGTCAGAGCTACAGAGAGAGGGAGGGTCTTTCATCCACTGGTTCACTCCTCAAATGGCTGCAGCAACAGGAATTCAGTTGATCTGAAGCTAGGAGCTCCTTCCAGGTCTCCCATGAGGGTACCAGGGCCCAAGAACTTGAGCTGCTCTCAGTGTTTTCCTAGGCCATAAGCAGGAAGCTGGATTACAATTGGAGCAGCCAGGACATGAACCAGCACCCGTATGATATTCCAGCACTGGCAGACAGAGGACTGGCCTGTTAGGCCACTGTTCCAACCTTAGAAGGCTTACCTTCCCTCTCAGCGTTTTGAGTTACTGTTCTCAGAATTCTAGTTCACATTTCCTGTGCCGTTCCATTTGGATTGTTTATTTCTCTTCGTTTAAGTCTCTCCCAGAGCTGTGTCTCTATTCCCATTGTAGAATACAGTTTCATCCTAGTGGCCTGCTGCTCCTACCCGTTAATATGGTGACATCGGCTCTGTGAAGGACTGGCAGGATTTTCATGTTGAATCTTACTTTTTCCCACTGTTAATGGCTTTCTTTTCTTTATCCTTTTATTAAGGAAAAAGCTCAAGAACTCATGACTTCCGTAACCATTTATGAGCACTGCGGTAATTAATTGATCTCAACAATTCATTAACTTTACCTTTTCCATGTGAATTAGCTCCTTCATAGTCTCACCCCCTCCTAGCTGTTTAATTACCTTGGTCTTTACATAAAATCCACCTGTCATCAGTTAGTGTAAAAAATTTGTGTAAAATGACACAGTTGCAGGTAATCATGGAAACAACTCGCAAACCATGCTAGACTAAACCTGAGACACTGAAAGTAAATATTGCCCATGTCCAGCTTAGACTAGAAGTCATTAAAAAGCCATCTGACCCATCATCTTCTTCTCTATGTGAAATTGAACTTAAACCACACTGAGTGAAAACAAGTCATTTTATGTTATTTGAAAATAGAAAAAGAAGGTGAAAACTGAAGAATGCCAAACGTATCTGGCTTATCTTAGTTGTTAGAATGTGTAAGTATTCAAATGAATGACCAGACCAAGCCCTTGACTGATTAATTCTTCTGTGACATTAAATGATTACAAATCTTCCTCATTTTGAAAAAGGTTTCTCCCAAAACAGTCTTTCCCCTGATAGAATACAGGGTTAAACTCACAGCTTTATCTTCTTTAGTAGCAGCATTGCGTAAAGTTCTGCAAGGAAGGCGAAAGTTACCCATAACATTCAGTGTTGAAACACATAGTAGGGAAACAGGTTCCAGTTATTTATTATCCAAATGGGGTGATAGGAGACTGTTTCTGGCAGCATTTCAAAATAAATCAAACCAGAGCAATCCAACAATGGAAAAGGGTTATATATTTAAGGAAAGGATAAATATGTGATTGAAAGAATAGAAGAATTTAAGTACATCTTTTTAAGTCTCCTAATTTTTTTAAATCAGTCTTTCAACTTCCGCTACTTAGTTTCCTTCCCGAAGGGCAATTGCCAATGTGTGTCTGCCTTTACCTTCCCCAGAACATTTAATTTAGAAAGGTATGTGTCTGAATACACACTTGGTAGATTTTTTACTAGATTAACAGCAAATAGTTTATGTGTTTTATTTTGAATCAATTCGTACTTATTCTAATTGAGTACATTATGCTTGAAATCATTTGTATATCCTGAAAAGTCTACAGTTCTACATTGATGAAAGTTCAACTGACATTGTCAGTTGAAATTTAGATGCACTGTATGGCAGTAATTTTGTAACTTACTTAGAAAAGTATTTAAAAATAAATAATCATCCATTTTTCTATCACTTAGAAGCAAGCACTATAATATTTTGGCTTACTGTTCACTGTAATATTTAGTAATTGTCTGAAATTGGAATTATGGTAAATATACCATCATGGACTCGCCTATCATGAATATATTTACATGCTTTATTTTCAACCACAAGTATCAAACATTAATTTAAATGAAAAAATATTTCACTTACTAGGGGACCACATACTTGAGAACAATGGTAATACTTTCTGGATTCAGAATCCCTAAATTTAAATTTGTCCACCAGCATTATTGCACATTGCTGGGTTAACAGTGGAGAGTGTTGGTACTACGACTGCAAGGACAAGTAAAGCAAGTGACTCAAGTGACATGGCACAAGGGATTGACACCTGGCAAACCTTTCTCTCTGAGTCCAGAGGAGGACAGACAAGGCCTGGGGCAGGAATGCTAGGACGGGCAAATGAGGGGAGGCACCATAGGTCCAGGTGCAGTCAGTTCCTGCCTCTGGCCTCCCAGCCACCAATTGAGAGGGTCACAGGTGACAAGGACTCACCTATGACAATGTGGTAGAGATCAACAAATCCTTAAAAGACACTACAATAATAAAAATACCACTCAATACTGTACTGTAAATGCACATTTGTATATAAGAAAAACATGATCACAGTCCAACTGATGACACATAAATGCTAAGCTATATTTGTTCCACTGTAATTCAATGAGCAACTTCTGCTTCCCTTTGGACTTTATTGCTCTCAATGGCTCTCTTTTCAGAGAGAGAGTCAAAGCTTCAGCACATGTTCTGGGACTCTTGCTGAGTTCCATTTCCTATTCTCTCCCAAGCCTTCTCCAGCTGATTGGGCACACGTGCTGTCTGTCATGGTACCTGCAAGCTAGGTTGCACCCATCAGCCCAGCCCCTGGCTGCCTTGTCATGTGAGTGACACTGCCAGAAGTTGCCCTATGCCTGATGGCTCTGTAGCCGCTCTGAGGGCTGCCTTTGGCTTTCACATTCAGTGTTGCTGTGTGGATGGACACTCAGATGACTCAGTTCTCTCTGACTCCCCTCCTGCTCTCCTTCTCCTGCCCTGCTGCTCAGGCCCCTGACTGTTGGTAATGAGAATCCAGGCAAGGAAATGTTGCTACTTTCATTCAGCAAATAAAGAACTAGAATTATAGTAACTCTCTGGAGTATAAGTTAAAAGGACCAAGACAGAAAAAGTTTATTTAGTAATTATCAACATGTATGCAGCTTTCAGAGGAGTGGGAAGACAAAGTGAGAGTCAGAACTGGATATATCAAAGCTGTCTGTAAAAATTTTGCCTACATATCAATTAGAGGAAAATGTATGCAAGCACATATCTTTGGTCGTGAATTTTTAACATCATGGAAGAACTTGGTCCAAGTTATCCTGTCTGTTGTCACCTTCACCAGAAGACTATCACTGCTTCCGGAGACAGGCATTAGTTATTTTTCCTTTATAGACAACTATGGAAACTCAATTACTTTTCAAAATCCCATCTTTTCCATGGAATTGCCCTGTATTAACTAGAATTGTGGTACTGAGTTCTCTCAGACATGTCATACTCTGTTTATAACATGCCCTACTCCCAATGGCTGTATACTCTAGCTTGGCAAGACGTAGCTCTTAGGGAAGACTAGGTAAAGAAAACAAATTCTTTAAACTACTGCCTGTGATTCTAAAATTAATAAAATTATTCTAAAATTATTTCAAGACAAAAAAGATTACTTAAAAATATGCTCTTACCTTCTCTATCCATTTTTTTGTCTTTGATTATTTTTTTAAAATATACAAGACTGATGGGTATTTGGTGCAGTAGTTAAGATGCTGTGTGGGATAGAAATGTCACATCCTGGGAATGGAGTCCTGGCTCCACTCACAGTTCTGTCTCTCTACTAATACACTCCCACGGTGCCAGCAGGTGAGGACTCAAATACCAGAAAAACTTCCTTGCTCCCAGATTCATTCCTAATCATTGCTATTGTGGACATCTGGGGATTGAACCATTGAATGTGAGTCCTCTCACTCAACCTCTGTGTCTATTTCCCATGAAGATTGTTTTAAATTAAAAAGAGAGAAAGCAATACAACATGCATATATACGTACACTTCCTGTGTGCCATCGCTCTTTTTCTTGCTATACTTTGAATATCAGAAATCCTTCTGGACTGTAAGACAAACTCAGAGTCAAGCAAAGAAACCCCTCTTTCCACTTCTTTACCAAAAAGATTATGGAGTGTGGAAATCCAAGCTAGGCTACTGATATAAAAATACACGGTTCCCAGAAAGCAGAC